AAATTTATATCTTTGCCTGAGAGCAAGAACTAGATTCTCTTTGAAGAGAACTTTGCATTTGCATCCACTGCTCTGCCCACCCCCCTCATCACTTCTCTTCTGAGCCTTCTGCGTTCCTCAGCTCCATTCTTCCATGATCCCTGGGGTTATCCCTCAGTGAAAATAACCAAACAGATTCATCACCTTCAGTGGCGGTGTTTCTTCACAATTTGTCTTAGGATAAAATTGGCAGCAGTTTGCATCATGTTTGTTAAGAACCCTGGTTAGGCTGTCAGGTTATTGTAGGTTGAGAATGACATCTCATTTTAGAAAATGCACAACCATTCCTTCATGGATATGACAACTCCATTCTTTTTGTGAAAAGAGGATGGTGGCTTTTTGGATGGCATGATAGCCCTGTGTTTCTGCATTTTCTTGGTTCCATTTACCTTTTATTTCCAAATAGTTGACATCATGATGGAAGTTGTCTTGATGAGTTCGTTGGCATATTTTTTAATGGATCTAGCTTGAAATTATTATTGTATAGAAGGTTGCTTAGCCTTCTTGGGTAGTAATGATGAATAAATATATAACTACAGACTCCGTAATCCATGGGGAGGCTTCTCAAGCAAGCTATTAACATGTTGGTAGTTCTAACTCACAGGCAAGCACTTTTCTGTTCAATTGTCATTTCAAGTTTTAAGTCAGGTCACAAAATTAGAAAGGCTTTTGTTCTGGAAAGTAAATTAGAAAGGGTCTCTGCATGTTATATGTCTGTATAGGTAAGACCATCACTTGGAAACACATAGGTCAATGAATGAATGAATGAATGAATGAATGTATTTACTGTGTTCAAGTATTTACTGTGTTCAAGCACTACGCTAAGTACAGGGAATAAAAATACAGAAAAGGGGACATCCTCCTTCATAGAGCTTATATTCTAACAGGGGAAGACAACATGAACAGAGAAGTTGTTGCTAGGAGTTTTGTGGTTGGAGTAAGTGGAATTATAGAGCAATTAATTGATTGACAGGTACTTTCCAGGAAAGGCATTGTGGATTTGGTTTCTGTTCTCAACTCTAGAGCAATCATCTGGCAAAGCCAGGTAATATAGACAACCAGTCTGATAATGTAGTGATAAAAGTATTACTTTTTCTACAGTAGAATCTTTTGTTGTTAGAATTTCCCAAATAACTGGGAAAACTTCTTTCTCCTCAATTCTTATGGACTGGTCAGACTGTCAGAGCAATAAGTCCCTTTAAGGGAAATGTATGGAAATAAGTATACAGAACTCCAGAAATGGCATGACTTTGTACAGGGATAATTCTTCAACTTCTCTTTGTGGAAGTCAAACTCTCTACTTTTGCTCTTGACACCATCCTCTCCTGTCTCCTTTGGGAATCTATTCCTTTGAATATCTCATCTCATCCTTTCATCTTTAGTCCCTCTGTACCTACTAGGTTCTTTTCTATTGCCCATACATTGGCCCAGGTCTCTCCTATCACTTATTTTTTTAAAAAAATTATTACTTATTTTTTGTAGTTTTGGGTTCCAAATCCTCTCCTTCCTTCCCATCCTTCTCCCACCCACCGAGAAGGCAAGTAATATATTAATTATACATGTGAAATCATGTAAAATGTATTTCCATACTTGCCATATTAAAAAAAGCAAGAAAAATAAAAAAGTGGAAAAATTATACTTTAATTTGTTCTTAGAGTTCATCAATTCTCTCTCTGGAGGTGGATAGCATTTTTTCATCGTGAATCCTTTGGAATTGTCTTGGATCATTATATTGATCAGAGCAGCTAAGTCTTTCACAGTTGATTATCATTACAATATTGTGTATTGTAATAATATTGTTACTGTGTACAATGTTCTCTTGGTTCTGCTCACTTCACTTTGTATCAGTTCATATAGGACTTCCCATGTTTTTCTGAAACCATCCTATTCATCATTTCTTAAAGCACAGTAGTATTCCGTCACAATCATGTGCCACATCTTGTTCAGCCATTCCTGAACTGATGAGCATTCCTTCAATTTCCAACTCTTTGCCATCACAAAAAGAACTTCTACCAATATTTTTGTACATATAAGTCCCTTTCCTTTTCCTTTGATCTCTTTGGGGTGCAGACCTTAGTTAATGGTTTGCACAGTTTTATAGCCCTTTGGGCATAATTCCAAATTGTTCTCCAGAATGGTTGGACCAGTTTGCAACTCCACCAGCAGTTCATTGGTGTACCCATTTTCCTTCATCCTTTCATCATTTGTCATTTCCTTTTTGTTTGTTTTTAATTTTCCCAATTGCATGTAAAAAACATTTTCCAGCCTATTTCTTGACTTTTAACTCTATGCTGTATCTGGGACTCTGCTTCCAGAATGGAGGAGGAATTGTCCCAAACTTCAGTTTTTTTGTGCAGCTGTTTTCAGAGGTAGTTCTGGGGACCTGTAAGTTTTCACCTCTTCCAAGGTGATATGATCTAGGGAGAGGTGTGTTTACTACTCTCCTGACCTGTGCTCTGATCTGAGTGACTACAAGCACTCTTTTCCATCCTGGAACTGTGACCAGGGTCCTTGTTCCCCTGTGGCCACAATCTCTGGTATACTAGTGCTCTTCCTCATCCTGGGACTGAGACCCAGAACTGTGACCCAGATCCAAGTATAAGCAATGCAACAGAGTCCTGCCCCTGGTGCCAGCAAAGGGACCCCTGTAAATCTCCTTCTGACCAGTTGTCTAACCTCCTTATTGTGTGGAGGCTGAGAGGTCCAGAAACCACCATTTCTGCCACAGATTCAGTCAGCCCCCAGGCCTGCTTCTGGTTTGCTGGGGTCCCAGCCTGCACTGGCCTGTGTTCCACTCTCACCTTGGTGCAACAGAAGTTTCCTCCCAACCTTCTAAGTTGTCTTGGGCTGGAAAATTGTTCCACTCTGTCTTTTTGTGGGTTCTGCTGCTCTAAAGTTTGTTCGTTTTTTAAAGGTATTTTGAAGTGTTTAGGGGAGAGCTCAGGCAAGTCCCTGCCTTTATTGCACCATCTTGGCTCTGGCCCTCACCCATTTGTCGTTTCTGTTCAGTGTGAGGTGATACCTCAGAGTTGCTTTAATTTGCATTTCTCTAATCAGTGATTTAGACCATTTTTTTCAGTCTCTCCTATCCTTAAAAAAAACTTCTCTTGAATGTGTTCCCCTCAAACCAACATCCTATGTTTCCTCTCCCTTCAAAATCAGATTTTTTTTAAAGCTGCCAATGTTGCTTTCTTTTTCTCAGTTCCCAGCCATGTCTTAGCCCTTCACTCATTCAGATTTCCAACCCAAATAGCCTACCTTCTATTCCTTGACCTCAGTATTCCACCTTCTGCTTCCATCCTCCAGGCCTAGAATGCCCTCCATCCTAGCCTCTGCCTGTTACAAGCTTCCTTCATGGCTCAGCTCAGGTGACCACATCTCCTTGAAGCCTCCTGCTTCTCACTAATTATTAATCCATCCATCCACCCATCAACGGGCGTTTATTCAGTGCCTACTCTGTGCCAGGTAATGTGCTAAGTACTGAAGATAGAAAGAATTAAATAATCTCTGTTTTCATGGAGCTTACATTCCAAATGGGGAGA